GGCGAGGGCTTCGAGGAGAGTTTCGCAATGAGGACGGGGTGTCACTAAGGAAGAGGAGGGATGGGAGAGGGGTGCGTCGGCGAGTGCGTTTTCGTTGGTGTGCTGTGTGGTGTGCACCCTGACCAGTTGCACGTATCGGATGCGCGCGCAAGCTCTAAGCATAAGTGACGTGTGTCGTTTGCGGGCCAGCTGAGCTCTTTACCCACCCACGCCCTGGTCCTGGGGCCGCGGCGCCGGGACGGTGTGGGCTACCGTCCGGTGCGTCCACAGACCGCCGAGTCGGACAGGAGCAAGCTCATAATGCTACCCAGGCCACCCGGCCGGGCAGGGACAACGACGACGCAGCTGGTCCGCCAAGGGGCAGCATTTTTCGTCTGGACCACCCGTGATGTTTAGCGGGCCAGCGCGGCCAACCCCACACAGGAATCTGGGTACGAGCAGCCCCCTCATCCCAGGCCTGAGCCCCCCGTGCCTACTACGGCTGTGCTGGGAGGGGTCACGATGCCTCCCAGGGTGGTCGTAGGATCCTGTTTTGTCGGCTGTGCTCCCTCGGGGGGGCGGAGGGGTAGCGCGTGCCTTGGCACGGACTGGCGGGCGGTTATGGCGACCCCTCCTGGGGACGTCATCCCTCTGGCACCGCCTTGGCGTGAGCGCCGGCCCGCGCCTGACCATCGCGCGCTGGCGGCGTTCCGTGCAGGCTCGGCGTGCGACTCATGCCGGTCCTACGGTGGTAGCCTACCTCAGTTGTGGTGTGCAGCTGTGCGGGAGTGTACGATGGAATATACCTGGATATAAGAACGGGGGTCTCTGTCCCGATCCGGGGTCTGGCGGTATGTGACCATCCCTCGCCTCCGGGTCGCCATCTGTGCTAGTGAGCAGTCTTGAATTGCTCACATTGGCGGGGGTCTCGAACCCTGAGGGAACTGTGCCAACGGGGGGACTTGTCCCCTCCCACCGCCGGCACGGGGAGGGTCGGAGGTGATTTGTTTTCGCCTACCGTTGGAAACCGTTCAACGAGATGTGTTTGCGGTGTGCACTCTGACCTGTCCCATGTCTCGAGTTGTCTCCTTGCGATGGGAAGCCACCCCACAGAAGTGTACGTGCGTGCGGGTGTGGCGTGGTGCCCGCGTGGTTGGTGGGCCTTTCGCGCACGTAGTTTCATGTGTGTACGTGGGGGAGGGGAAGCGTGCGTGTGGGCAGGCGTTTCGAATATCGAGAGGTCGTGTGATTCACATGATACCGCTGGCTGTGCGAGGGGCGGGGGGTTAGGAAATCTTGATAGTGAGGTGTTTTCCTGCCGCCTCTCCTCCCCCTCCCCCCTCCCTCCGCTGGGCGGGGCGGTGGGGGCGGCGGGGGAGAACACCTCCCGATCTGGCCTTCCGGCCCCCCGCTCAGGGTATTGGGTGCTGTGCCAAGGCTACCGGGGGCATCTCCTTGTGGGTCCATTCCCCCCGCAATCCGCCCCGCGTGTTTGTGTCTGAGGCTTCATCACCCCAGCGTCAACATCACAGCTGCCCAGCTGCTATCCCGTCCGCAGGCCTGAAGGTCGCTTGCAGCCTGAGCTGGCTCGGCGCTCATCTCCAATGTACCCGCGCATCAGCGGGCAGCATGGCGCTGACAGAGGCAGCGGCGTTCTCTCCCACCTGAAGGCGGAGCCGAGGAGGAGTAGAAGGGGGGTCAAGGGGCAGGTCGATGACACTTGCACGCTGGGTAGTCGAAGCCAATCTGGCGCCAATCTGGCAGGCCAATCTGGCAAACGGGGGCAATCTGGCGAGGGAGCCAACGCGAATCCAGTCTGGCGAATAACCCAAATCCTCCAATATGGCCAGGCCAGATTGGCCCTTGGGGCCCAATCCAGTCTGACAGTCTGGCCTTCGACTACCCAGACTTACGGAGGAATGATCGGGTTTTTTCCCAGTGGGGGTTAGATTTCACCGGGGGAAATCTTTTTCTCGAGAGAGGGGGGGGGGGTGACATGGTATAGACGCGTGGTGTTGTGTGGACAGGAGAGGGGGGGGGAGAGCGGGGGGGGAACGGAGAGATGGGGGAGGCCAGGCAGGGCTTCGACGACACCATCGTCGAGGAAAGGGAAGACGATCGAGGAAGTGGGGGCTGCGCCTGCCGGAGAGCCCCCGTCGCCGCCCCTGGACTTTTTCGGGGAGTCGGAGCATTCTGGGTGGACGGAGGAGGAGGAGGAGGAGGAGGAGGATGAGGAGGAGGAGGAGGAGGAGGAGGAGGAGGAGGAGAAGGAGGGCTGATCCTGGCACCACCGTGCGTCCTCAAGAGACCCCCCGTCGCCACGGCCGGATCGCCTCGCCGCCCTCCCTGCGCCACCGCGCCCCCCACCCCGGACTCGCTGCTGGCGGCAGGGAGGCTGCGGCACTACTTCGCAGCCCCTCGCCACGAGCAGTGGCGCAACCCAGCGAGGCGGCGAGGCGTGACGGTAAAACAGGGCACTAAACTAGGGCTAGGATCGGGATAAATCGCTCCAAATCGTTCAACCAAACAAAAAAAAACAATAAAAAAATCAAAGAAAAAAAAAGCGTTTCCGGACGCTCTCAGAGCGTTCCGGAACGCTCTGGAGCGGCCGCGGCGCCCAATACATCCTCCAAACCCGCCGATTCTCAGAGACTTCGAATTATCCCGATCCGATTTCATCCCGATCTTCGCGTCGTTTTAGACGGGGTTCGAACGGGACCCGGGCACCGTTCAGTCCTCTCGGATCGAGGGCGCCCCCAGACGGCCATCAGGGCCAGCGATCGAGCCGTGCCGCCACGTCCCCAGCACGGCACAGCGGGCGGCCTGGGCTCCGTGTGCCCCCCCAAACCTCTTCCTCCTCTTCCCCCTCCTCCTCCTCCTCCTCCTCCTCCTCCTCCTCCTCCTCCTCCTCCCCCTCCTCCCCCTCCTCCTCCCCCTCCTCCTCCTCCTCCCCCCCCTCCTCCCGCCCTCCTCCTCCCCCTCCTCCTCCTCCTCCTCCTCCTCCTCCTCCTCCTCCTCGCCTCCTCCTCCTCCTCCTCCTCATCCTTCTCTTTCTCCTGGCCCTCGGCACGCCCCCTCTGCGTGGTCCCCAGCCCGCCCGCCCTGCGCCACCGCGCTCCCCAACCCCCAGTTCGCTGATGGTCGCAGTGAGAGCGCGGCATTGTTTTGCAACCCCTCGCCACGATTCGTGGCACGCCCCAGCCGAGCGTGACGCGAGGGGAGCCGGGGGAGAAAGCAACGTCTGCCTCCCTGATTCTTTTCCAGCGCAACATCTACAGTAGCTGTCGGTCAGTCACATGCCAGCCTGCGCTACCCCCCGAGAACGACTGAGCCCAGGGTCGGCTAATCAGGGCAACGTCTGTAATGGGGTCGACGCGTAGTACAATGTAAGAATGCGGCCTGAGGCTGAGACGGATGGAGTAGAATGGGGCAGGCTTCAAGGAAGACTGTATCCTTGATCTAATGCAAATTTCTCCAGGCAAGACCAGGAGAGCAGGAATCAAGCGGGCCTTTGCGGTTCGCAATTGGGACGCCGATCGCACAGCCATGCAGCCAGGCGCAAAGCCCGTGAGCGACACCCTTGAGTGATGCAAACAGCATGGCCGCCGAATCACGAGGTCACGCACACTCGCATCGCTAGATCCTTAGGAATCACCTGTAGATAAACTCGCCGCTCGGGTCAGTGGAAAATCCTAACTTACTCTTGGAGGCGACGGTAAATCCGCACTCGCTCGTTCGAGCAAGACGAACTCCACGGACTCGTGCATCGCCCCCCCCCCCCCTTTTCTTTTGCCCCCCCCCCAAACCGTGTGGGATTGTGGCCATGACAAGAGATCGTGACACCAGAAAAAAACATCGCCACCCCGCCCGCTCGGGTGGCTGTCGTGCCGCCCCGGGCGCAAAAACTGGGGCCATTTAAATCGCTTCGCGCGCGGTTAAGAGGAGGAAGAGGAGGAGGGCTAGGAGGATATGAGGGGAGGATGCGGTAGGGGTCTATAGGGTTTGTTTAGTAGTGTAGGGAGGAGGACGAGGAGAGGAGACGACAGAGAGAGGAGGAGAGGAGGAGGATGAAGAGGAAACAAAAGATGAGGAGGAGGAGGAGGAGGAGGAGGAGGAGGAGGAGGGGGACAGAACGCGCAAAAAAACTTAAAAGACCTGTCTATCTGGCAGTCGGTCTCTCAGATTACGACCTCCTCTTGGGGACCTCGGCCTGCGGCGGCGGCTCCTGGGGCTCGTCGCCCCGGCTCCCGTCCTCGCTCTCGGACGCCGCCCGCCAACCCTCCTCCGCGCCGCCCGCCGCGGGCGTGCTTTCCCCCTCCGGGTCCTCCGCCAGCGGCTCTCCTCTCTTCGCGGCGTCCGCCGCCTCTCCCTCGGCGTCCTCCGCGTGGTCCTTTCCCTCCTCCTCCTCCTCCTCCTCCTCCTCCTCCTCCTCAGAGAATAGCTCGTGGTACTTCGCCCACGAGTAGAACCTCACCAGGTACACGAAGGCTGCGAGGAGGAAGCCGGCGGACAGGAAGAGGACCACCGCCTGCATCTCCTGCGTGAGCTCCAAGCGTCGGTCGCGAGGACGGATGCGCATATCAGGCTGCAGCAGGTGTAGAGGAGAGAGAGTCCTTCTGCGTCGTTGAGCTCCTGGTACTTGTACGGTCGGAGTCGCATGTGTGCACCAAGGAACACGGTCATCGTGAAGAGTGCCATGGCTAATTTGGAAGATGGGCTGTATGTGGTTGGAGCCAGAGTCGCGGTGACAGCGAGCACAGTAGTCTTGGTGAGACGGAAAGCCTCCCAATACTGCCGCCCCTCAGTGTAGGACCCTGTGATGAACTTCATTGCGTGGTCGTACACCGCATTGCGAATCAGGAAGATCCAAAGTAGCGGCCCTGCCACAATGGCACCAGAAGCCAGAGGCACCGTGATCATCGAATACCTCGCCCTACCGCTGCAACTTGCCAGTGACTCGTGTGAAAGCCAGCTCTCAGCCGGCGCAACGGGATCGTCCGGGTGCAGCTGTGTGTGGTAGCACGGGAGCGAGCGGGCGCACGCTGCGGTGATGAGTGGCACGAACTGGTTGGTCGCCACGAGGTAGCACACCATGAGGCTGCCTGGCGTGTACTCGGCCCGGAACCACTGGATTAACTGCGCCGTCATCGCCAGGAGCATCGCAGTGGCTGCCTGAGCAAACGCAAGCCCGACAACGCTCAGGGGCCCGATCTGTTGCTCGCCGCCGTTGACTAAGCAGTCGAGGCTGGACGCAAAAGCCGTGGCGTCACCTCCCGAAGCGTGAATGCCCATGCTGAGAACTCCTCTGACACCATCGGGCATCCTGCGGAACACAGGCGTTGCGTCTATGGTCGACGCGACGAGAGCAGAGGCGGAGGTGAACGCTAGCAAGATCTTCAGAGCATCGTTCGCGAAAGCTGCAGATGCCCCCCTGCGCGCGGCGTCAAACGCACTGCGGACGGAGGCCGCGTAGAGCATGATCGGCACCCCAAGCCACACGAGCCACTGAAGAATCTGGTGGCCACACCGCTCACAGATGAAGGGATCAGCGTTACTGCGTCCAAAGCCTTTTGTGCAAGAAGCGCATCCAGGTGTTGTCGAATCGTACCCCTCCTGGCACTGTGCCTCTGCACGCAGTGTTTCGCAGTTGTCCGCAGCCTTGCTGCGGGGGTCCACGTTCAGCTCGACAACGCTATGAGAACAAGCTATGCTGTTAGGGCAGCGATGAGCTGACGTGCCGGTCTTCAGAGATTGTATCGTAGCTCCCTCTGGCACGCTAATCTTCCAGTCGCTCACATATATATCCATCTTGACTTGCTTGCTCAGAGTCACCGTGCAGGATTTCTCCACGAAGGCCTTATTTTCCAATGCTTGGGCCTTCTCCAAGTCTTCTTCCGCCTTCTTAGTGTCCTTGATCGCTTTCTGGCTTTTCTTGAGAGCTTCTTTTTCCTTCTTTTGGGCGCGCTTCTCCTTTTCTTTTGCAAAACGTTCCCTAAGCTTCACATCGTCAAGTTCATGCCGCGCCACAATTTCACTGTTGTTTGCAATTGTCGCACGCGCGATCGCATCATCTTTCCGTCGATCCGCTTCAGCAGATTGCTCTTCCAACTTCTCCATGCACTTCTCCAGTTTCTCGGCGGATCCTGGCGAGAGGCGAATCCCACATGGTTTGTCGCGCGGACAGTTTTCAAGCTCTTCCATCTTCTTCAGGAGGGCGCGGCACTCATTCGTCATCCACGACGGCACCCCGGCCTTGGCCTCGGGGGCGGGCCCCTCCTCCCGGGGGCGGACAGACCTCCCTTTAGGAAAACGTGGTTTAGTGAGAACTGACTACCTACCAGACCACACCAACCCAACCCGAAGACCCGAATTTCGGGTTGGGGGGGTAAGGGTTCCACATGTGTTTTTTCGATGTTTCCCGACCCCCCCCACTAGAAATCGAGGGTAAATCTGAGCCTTCGGGTTGGGTTGGGGTGGTTTGGTGGGCGGTCAAGAACGACCTGAGGCCTAAACCTGGCGGGCGCAAGCCTGGAAAATAACGGCCACGGCGCCCTCTCGAGAACCGAAAACGGACAATTCACTAATCCACGTGTCGCTGTTGGGGGTTCTGTCCACCCCCGATCCTCGTCGCCGGCACCCTCCTCGCCGCCGGCCCTCTGCATGCTCCCGCCGAGGGCCCCCGCTGTGGCCTGGAGCTCGGCCCACTCTTCTGCCTCGCCCCCGATCTCGACGAAGCGCTCGAGGTAGTCCGCCCGCCTGTCCGGTTCGGCCTGCCTCTCCTCCAAGCCCGCGGCCGTCCCGCCCTGTGCGGCGCCACCGGACAGCTGGCCCCGCGAGTCCACGGCGAGCACCTCCCTGCGCACCAGGGCGCCCCCGCGCCCTCCCTGCGCGGCGCGCGCGCGCACGGGCGGGCAGAGGAGCAGCGCCGCGGCCAGCAAGGTGAGCCGCCGAGATCGCTCGGGGAACGCCATGGGCACGGCGCGCTTCCCTTCGTCGGCGCTGTGACCAACTCTCGCGCGCGCTCGCGCGCACGACGGCGAGCCTGAGCCCAAATGGTCACGGAAGAAATCGACGTCTGCCTCCCAGAACCTCGCTTGGACGGGTTCCGGCCGGACGAGCCAGGCGAAGGAGCGGGGCCCGAACCTAGACCCGACACTGGTGCTCATCGCGGCGAGCCTAGACAGGACCGCGGTGCGTCCCTTTCCGCTGGCGCACAGCGGTCCCGCACCTGGGACCGCCGTATGTCGGGCCGGGCGAAAGGGGGGGAATAGCAAAGGGGGGTGTGTGAGAATCAGCTCACGTAGCTGATTTTCCCGGCGCCTCCCGGCGCCGGGAGGCGGCCATGTATCGAGGAATGGGGCCCCTCGGCGAGGCCGAAACCAGCTGCATGCAGCAAATTTCGTAACCCCCCCTTTCCCAATCCCCCCCTTTCGCCCGGCCCGAGTCGGGCGAAGGAGTGGGCCTTGGACCCAGACTTGGCACCGCTGGGAAGACGAGCGGACCCAGCGGCGCCTCACCTGGGCCGGGCTCGCCCAGAAATGGACCTCGTGGGGGCGTTGAAAAAAAATTACCGCGAGTATCGGCGGTGGACGAAGCTCCCTTTAGTAGACCTCCCCTGAAAAAAAACGACCTGGGACGGAACCGACGGACCTGACCCGCAAAAATGACGGCCGCGACGCCCTCTCGCGAACGGAAAACGGCCAATTCCTTAATCGACGTGTCAGGGTAGGAGGTCTGTCCACCCCCGAGAGCAACGGCGTCTCCAGGGATTTTTTTTTGTTTTTTTTTTTTTTTTTTTGTTTTTTTTTTTGTGAGAGCTATGTGGATCAGCCAGCGCACGAGGCGGCCGCGAGATTGGGCCTACACCGGACTCACTTCTATAGCGCTCACTTCTATAGTGCTCACTTTGAAATTGTGGTCCGGAAGGGGCCGCACATGCAGGCACATGCCGCACAGTCGCATGCACATGCCCATGCAAATATACAAAAGCCTCAACAGCATTGCCGCACATGCGCGCACATGCCACACCGTCCGACGCACAGTCGAATGCACGGTCAAGCAAACTCTGAAAGCATAGACGCACATGCCCGCACATGCCGCAGAGATGTCGCAGGCGATAGTGGCCTGACCACCTGAGCTCGGGGCATTTCGCAACCCAGAGTTCCGAGGATGTCTCAGGCAAGCGTGGCCGGATCACCATGGGGCAGGGCATCTTGGAAACCAGAGTGGCGAGGATGGTGCTGGTCAAGGTGACCAGACGACCATGGGGCAGGACACCTCCGAGGTCTGAATTGTGAGGATGTCTCAAGCGAAAGTGGCCTGACCACCATGGGGCAAGAGATCTCTGAGGTCAAAGTTGCGAGGATGTCTCTGGGGAGAGTGGTCTGACCACCTCAGCCCAGGGCATCTCGGAGCCCAGAGTTGCGAGGATGTCTCAGGCAGGACTGGCCTGACCACCTGCTCAGGGCATCTCAGAACCCAGAGTTGCGAGGGTCTCAGGCGAAAAAGGCCGAGACACTATGGAGCAGGGTATCATTGAGGTCAGAGTTGCGAGGATGTCTCAGGCAAAAGTGGCCTTAACAGCTCAACTCAGGGCATCTCGGGCGAGGATGTCTAAAGCGAAAGTGGTCTAACCACCTCAACTCAGGGCGTCTCGGAACCCAGAGTTCCGAGGATGTCTCAGGCGAAAGGGGCCGAGACACTATCGAGCAGGGCATCATTGAGATCAGGGTTGCGAGGATGTCTCAGGCGACAGTGGCTGACCACCTCAGCTCGGGGCATATCGGAATCGAGACTTGCGAGGATGTCTCAGGCAGCCGTGGCCTGACCAGCATGGGGCAGGAGATCTCTGAGGTCAGAGTTGCGAGGATGTCTTATGCGAAAGTGGTCTAACCACCTCAGCTCAGGGCGTCTCGAAACCCAGAGTCCCGAGGATGTCTCAAGCGAAAGTGGCCGGGCCACCATGGGGCAGGGCATCTCCGAGACCAGAGTTGCGAGGATGTCTCAAGCGAAGGTGGCCAGATCACTTCATGTCAAAGCACGTCGGCCTCCAAATTGCCGACGACGTCTCACGCGGAACTGGCCGGACTCGAACGCGCCGGCGTCCGGAGACGAACGCCGGCCCCGGCATTCTTGCACGTCCCGCACATGCACTGCACAGGTACGCACAGTATTCGCACAGGCCGAGCTCGCCGGTGGCCGAGCCAGGCAAGCGATTCCGAGATTCCCTGAGCTCGGGCCGTCAAGCCACTTTCGCCTGAGACAGCCTCGCAACTCTCACCTCCTCCTCCTCCTCCTCCTCCTTCTCCTCTGGCCGAGCCGAACAGGCAGGCTGGCCAGTGGCCGGGGGCGCCCGCCTCCTCCGCCCCCCCCTCCTCCCCCCCCACTCCACCTCCCCCCCCCCATCCCTGCTTCTCCGGCCGAGCTGAGAAGGCGCGCGGGAGAGTATTTTATTAGGCGGGCGCGCCACCGCCAGCTCACGAACCGGGCGAATAACCGCCCCCGCCAGCAGCGGGCGAGTCTAAACGCACAACAAACTCTTTCAGGAAGCCCTGGCACGCCCCAACTTAGCTCTGCGAAGGCCAGGAGGCATTGGAGGCACAGGGGTCCCAGACAGCTCCTAGGGCATGAGCGTGCATGTGCATTGGGATGTGCACGCATGTGCGCCCGCGCGCTTCACCGCATGTGCGTGCATGCGCGGGCCCGCGCGGCCTCCCGAAGAGAGGTTGCACAGGCATGTGCGTGCATGTGCCGATGACAGATCTGCGATTCTCGAATACCTCCCGCATGTGCAGGCATGTGCGCGCATGTGCGTCGGACTGTGCGTGCATGTGCGTATGATGGATACCTCAAAACACAGCGCACATGCCCCCGCACATGCCCGGGCACGACGTGCACAGTAGGAAGTCCATCCAAGAAGGACCGCACAGGCCTGGCACATGACTGGCACATGCCGCGCACATGCGCGCACATGACAGCGCAAAAACGGCCGCACATACACCCACCCAGGGGTATAGATGTGAGTGCGGTGTATCCCCCGACGGCCCCAGTCACTCCGGTGAAGGCAGCGTGCATCAGCAGCTCGATGCCCGAGCGGCGGGCGGCAACAGACAGTCTGCTGCGGGAACGACAGATCCCCTCGGCTCGAACGCTGACGCCGCCACCGACGTTCCCCCTGGCTCCTGGGTTCGGGTGCGGGACGCGGACGGCCAGGTCCACGCAATCTCTCTGATTCGGCCGCCTGCCCGGAGGCCCCCCTGGCAAGGCACCCCGGTGGCTCGTGCGGCCGCCATTACCTGGCGGGCCTCGGGCTCCAGTTGCGCCCAAGAACCAGGGAACTGGGCCCGCAAGTCGGCGCGGCACGGCCGGACACGCACTCCGTCGCCTGGTCAACCCCGGACCACAACGGCCCTTGTCCGGGGGGCGCCGGGGTTCCCGAGGAACTGGCGAAACCCTCGCTCAAAAAGTTGCCGCGCTCAGCGGTGCACCTCATCCGTGCGGGGAGGAGCACAATGGGCACCTGGGCGGACCTGGGGGTGGTGCGGATTCTCCGGGAGGGAGAAAGGGGACATCTTGGCACCGTCGTGCGTCCTGGAGAACCCTCGATCGCCACCACGCCCGGATTCTTGGGGCGAGCGGGAAGGCGTCGACCCTTCGACCGCTGCTCGTCCTGAAAATCTCTCGTCGCCACAGCCGGACGGCGGAACCCAAACGCGGAGACGCGAGCAGCAGGACAGACGCCAGCGGCACCGTCGGGAGCAGGAAAACGGACTCCTGCTGCACGACCGCGGGCAGCAATACGTGCTCCAGCACCCACAGTGCGAATAGCACGACGAATATCGGAGATTTGACCTTGCGCAACGCGCTGGACTCCAGCAGCGCGATACTGAGCAGTCATAAGAATACCAGCGCTGCAACCGCGAGCGGTCAAACGGACCCAGCTGGGCAGATCCAACTGACGACAGCGACGCCGACGCCAGCTCGCCTGGACCCAACGCCCCATCCGACGCCACCGTCGTCGCCCAGCCCCTGCCACTCCTCCCCCGACGGCGCCCCGACCAACGGCCCGCGTGACGGCGTCTCTCGTGGCTCCCTCCTATAGACACCTTCCCCGACGCCCCACCCCGCACCCGGCCCGCCGCCCCCCCCCGGCGCCCCTGCCCGCCCCCATGCCTGCCACTCGGGTCGGTGCGCGGCCTCCGTCCTCGCCGCCCGCTGTGCCGGTGGCGCACGCCAGCGGGCGGGTCACCGCCGACGAGCACCCGTGCGTGAACCCACCGCTCGCCCCTGAGGCCCCTCGCTCCTCCCCAGTGACTACTGCTGCTGGCGGCTCGGGCACCGCGGGCTGCGCCAGCGCCAGCCCGCGAGGGGGGGCACCTCTGCCTGCACGGCGCGAGCTCCTGCTACTCGTCATGAACACCTGGACAGGCGTTGCCAGACACTCGCGCCCTATGGGATTCGTTCGCATCGGCCTACACGAGGGAGGGCAAGAGGCGGGCGCGTCCTGAGGATGTCCCAGCACGCGTCCCGCTCGATTTCCTCAGCTCGAAGGAGACCCTGGTGGCCCGGGGCAGGAGGATGCAGCAGTGAGGTGGTCAACCTGGGTCGACCTGGCACAAGTTCTGCGCTCTGCGTTGCGGTGGCACTCGCGACCCGAACCGGCACGACGCCACGTTCCTCCGCTGCTCCCCCCGCCACGCGCCGTCATCCGTGTACTCACAATCACAAGATACAACACCATTACGGTGCCCCGAGGCTGGCCGTGAACCGTCCACCCTGGCAGCGCGTGGCCCCCGACAGCCTTCGGCCACAGCTTGACACAGACAACTGCACCGGTTAGGTGCCCCTGGACCCGGCCATGCGCTGTCCACCCCGACAGCGCGCGGCCTCCGCAGCCGCAGCCAGGGCCACCCGCCGGGCAGCTGCAGCCCTGGCGCCGGGCCGCCTGGCCCCTGCGCCCCGCCTGCTGGGGCCTCCCCGCGGGCGGAGCGCTCATCCTCCCTGCTCCCTTCTCCCGTTTTCGCCCCTCGCCTTTCCCCCCCTCCCTTCGTGCCGCGCCTCCAATGGAGGCGCGCGGAGGGAGGGGGCTCGCGAGCGCCATGGTCCATGGTCCATGGATCATGGCGCTCGCGGGGCTGCCGCAGCGTGCAGCCTCCCCGCGTGGTTGGGCACCTGGCGGCCTGGCCTTGCCGCCCGCTCCCCTCCACGGGCCCAACTTCTGGCCGGTTGCGGTCCAAACCTGGTCTTAAGTCGGCCGTGTCCCCTACAGGGGGATTTTCGACGAAGAATAAAAAACTAGAAAAATATTCCAAAGTGGCCCAAATACACAAAAAATCGTCCCCAGAGATTTTGCTTTGGCTAGTTTTGAATATTCCTCCTGTAGAGGGACAAGCCCGACTTGAACCTAGTCTGCCCGCGAACTTGCAGTACCTTGTCACGCGCCGCCCACCTGGGCGGCCCTGCGGCCCCCTCTCTGTCGTCCGAGTACCTCGCTTACTTCATCGGCAGCGCCACTTGAGCAG